ATCTCCAAGTACTAATTCAAAAATCAAGGTTAAAAATAAAAACCCTCCCGGGGGGGCACCTGGGTGGCTCAGTCGTTAAGCGTCTGCCTTTGGCTCAGATCATGATCCCAAGGTCCTGGGATCAAGTCCCGCATCAGGCTCCCTGCTCAGCAGGAAGCCTCCTTCTCCCTCTCCCACTTCCCCTGCTTGTGCTCCCTCTCTCGCTGTCTCTCTCTGTCAAATAAATAAATAAAATATTTTTAAAAAGAGATTTATCTAAAAAAAAATAAAAATAAATAAAAACCCTCCCAAAATAAAAATATTAAGCTTCAGCTGGCCATTCAGGATCAGCTGCTAATGAAACAAAGAAGCTACTTGAGCTCCCTGTAGTATTAGCACACAGCTGCAAGATCATAATCTGCTCACATTTGCATGAACTTTTAAAAACAAATATCCAGGGGCGCCTGGCTGGCTAAGTTGGTGGAGCATGCAATTCTTGATCTCAGGATTTTGAGTTCGAGCCCCGTCCTGGGAGTAGAGAGAAATTAAAAACAAAATGAAAACTCTAAAATAAATAAATAAAAATAAAAACAAATATCCAAAATATAGTGTAGAGTAAGAAAAAAGCAAATTACCTAAGACTATACATAGTATTAACTCATAAACACAAACACATACCTCTAGGTTGTATATGCCTAAGAGATGTTTGGAGGCATGTTCATCAAAATAGTAACACTGGTTACACACACCATAAAATTTCAAATTTCTTACTTTCTCTTTGTATTTTTATATGCCATTTTTTTAAATAGTGACTATTAATAAGTTGACTACTTGAACAAAACATCTCACACTAAGCAAATGAAGGAGCTCTAACTTCAGGCTCATGAATTCATATTCAATTGATTTTATTTTTATATTACTGTTTTGTTTATAAAACTCTGAGGTATAACTGACATAATACACCATATATATTTTAGTAAGTTTTGATACATATTTATACTCATGAAATGATCACATAATCAAGATAATGAATACACCTCTTATAATCTCTCCTTCCCATGTTCCACCACACCGTCCCCATGCATATGAAACAAATGATCTGCTTTCTCTATCACTATAGATTAAACTGCATTTTCTATCATCTCATATAAATGGAATCATACAGTATTCTTTTTTGTCTGGCTTCTTTCAATGAACACAACACAACTATTCTGAGTTTCATCCAGTCAATAATCCATTCTTTTTTCATTTCTGACTAGTATCCCACTGTATGGGTGAACAATCAGCTTAATGATTCACCTGCTGATATTTAGGTAATGTCCAGATTTTAGCTATTAAAAACAAAGTTACCATGAACATTAGTGAATAGGTTTCTATATGGACATATGCTGTCACTTCTGTTGGATAAATACTTAAGAACAGAATGGCTGGATCAAATAGTTGATGTACACTTAACTTTTTAAGACCATCAAACTCATTGCAGCTTTTTACATTCTCCTGAGTAGAAGGTTCCAGTTTCTCTACATCCTGGTCAACATCTGGTATGCTCAATTATAAAATTTTAGCCATTCTAACAAATGTGTAGTAGTATTTCACCACGGCTTTATTTTGCATTTCCCTAATACAAGAAGAGGTTGAGTATCTTTTCATGTGCTTACTTGTCACCCATATATGACATACCTCTTGCACATTTTTTAATTTGGTTGTTTCTTTTCTTTCTGAGTTTTGAGAGTTCTTTATATATTCTGATCAGTGGTCCTTTGTGAGACATATGCTTTGCAAAGATTTTCTCCCAGCCTGTGGTTTGTCCTTTCATTCCCTTAACAGTGCCTTTCCAGTAGCAGAAATTTTTCATTTAGATGAAGTCCAAATCATCAATTTTTTCTTTTACAGAACATGCTCCTGGTGTTATATATAAGAAATCATGGCTTGGTTAAGCAACTGCCTTCGGCTCAGGTCATGATCCTGGAGTCCCAGGATCGAGTCCCGCATCGGGCTCCCTGCTCAGCAGGGAGTCTGCTTCTCCCTCTGACCTTCTTCCCTCTCATGCTCTCTCTCTACCATTCTCTCTCTCTCTCAATAAATAAAAATCTTTAAAAAAAACAAAACAAAAGAAATCATGGCTTAAACCATAGTCAGAAAGATTTTCTCCTGTGTTATCATCCAGAAGTTTTATAGTTTTAGGTTTGACATTTAGTTTTATCAGTTAATTTTATATACAGTGTAAAATATGGATCCAAGTTGGGGTTTTTTGCATGTGGATATTCAATTGTTCCAGCACCAGGTCTTCAAGAGACAATCCTTTCTCTACTGAACTGCCTTGCACCTTTGTCAAAAATCAGTTGTCCATTTGCATGCGGGTCTTTTTCCAGATCTTTTATTCTATGCCAATAATATGTTTACAGTGGTATCACCATTTTGGTTACTATAAATTTGATTATAAAATTTTACTGTAAAATCAATTACTGAAAATTATTAGCTTTACAATAGTTCTTGAACATAGTAGTAGTTTTTTGTAGATTTCATTAAATATTCTACATGTCTTTTATTTCTACTTGCCTGATTGCCCCAATTAGAATCTTTAGGACCACTGCATACATTTTGAAGTGGTAAGAGTCAACATCCTTGAATTGTTCCTAATCTTAGGGGAAATCATTCAGTCTTTCACCGTTAAGTGTTATGTTACTTATTAGTAGGCTTTTCCCTAACCTAACTACTTCAAAACTTACTACAATGCTACAATAATCAAAACAATGTGGTACTGGCTAAAGGACAGACATATACAGATCAATGGAATAGAATTGGGGATCCAGAAATTAACCCACAAGTCTATGTGCAATTGATTTTCATCAAGAGCACCAAGAGCAAGGGCACCTGAGTGGCTCAGTCGTTAAGCATTTGCCTTCAGCTCAGGTCATGATCCCAAGGTCCTGGGACTGAGACCCGCATCGGGCTCCCTGCTCAGTGAGAAGCCTGCTTTTCCCTCTCCCACTCTCCTTGCTTGTGTTCCCTCTCTCACTGTCTCTCTCTCTCTCTCTGTCAAATAAATAAAGTCTTTAAAAAAAAGAGTACCAAGAGCATTCAATGGGAAAAAAAATAGTCTCTTTAAGAAATGATGCTGGGACAACCAGATTTCCATGCAAAAAAATCAATTGAACCTTTAACATGCATCTTATACAAAAATTAAAACAGATCAAACACCTAAATTTAAGTGCTAAAACTATAAAACTCTTAGAAGAAAACATACTCATGAATCTTTGTGACCTTGGATTTAGAATGAATTCTCAGATATGACAGCAAAACCACAAGCAACAAAAGAAAAAATAGATAAACTTTTGTGCATCAAAGGAAACTATCAAAAATGATTTTATTTTTTAAATACTCTCTACACCCAACGTGGGGCTCAAACCTACAACTCTGAGCTCAAGAGTCGCAGGCTCCACTGACCAAGCCAGCCAGGCAGCCCCCCAAAATATAATCTTTAAATATAAATGAATAAACAAATAAAGAAAAGAACAAGTTTTGGCAAGAAAATGGAATTCACATATAACACTGGTAGGAATGCAAAAGGGTGCAACCAGTGTAGAAAAGTTAGGTAGTTCCTCAAAAAGTTAAACAAAGAACTACCATACTCGTCAATTCCACTCCAATGTATATATCTTAGAGAAATAAAAACATACGTCCACACAAAACTCGTACACAAATGTTCATAGAAGCTTGATTCACAATAGCCAAAAGAGGAAATAACCTAAATGTCCATCAATCAATGAAAGGATAAAGTATGTGTGTGTGTGTATATACACACACACACACACACACACACAATGGAATATCATTCTGCCATAAAAGGAATAAGGTACTGATACATGCTACAACTTGGATGAACCTTGAAAAACATCATAACATCATGCTAAGTGAAATAAAACAGACACAAAAGGTCACATACTGTATGTTTCCATTTATAAGAAATAAAATGTCCAGAATAAGTAAATCCACAGAAATAGAAAGTAGAATGGTAGCTCCCAGGAGACCAGGGCACAGGGCAGAGATGGGGAAGGGCAGGCAGGGATGGTGAAATGATTGCTTATTGGGTACAGTTTTCTTTCTGGGGTGATGAAAATGTCCCGGAATTAGATAGAGGTGATGGCTGTACAACATTGCAAATGTACTGGCAGTCACTGAATTATACACTTTAAAATTGTTAAAATTATAAATTTTAAGTGAACTTTACTTCATTTTTTGTTTAAATGGGTGCCCTTGGGCACAGAACTTGCTTTCTCATTATTAATCCTTTTTTTACTACTCAATTTCTTCCTTGTACCAAATGGTATCAGACAACCAGAAAAATAAACACCAACTAATTTCTCAGCTAAGTTAAAAATATTCAAAGTTACTATTAAGGGAGAAATAATATAGATTCCTGGCCTCTGAATTGTGTCCTGCATATTCTTCTTGTCCTCTCTAATCCTATTTTTTCTCCCATTTATGTTATAGTATCACGACATATGTAGTTCACTGACAGCAATCTAAAAATTTGGGAATTAAATCATTAGGTAAATCATATATACTTCTTCCTTGCACAGAATAAAAACTAAATTTCAAGTGAAACAAGCAACAGGATTGAACAAATGTACCTAAAGTTTTCCCATGGCAAATTGTGGTCAATTACTCAACAAATAATGATAGTGCAACTTGCTATTAATGAGTTTAAATTTCCTGAGTTTTCCTCCAACTGAAGGTGCTGAAGTACAAAGTTTTCACTAGTTTTTCTTTAGATGTAAGGTTCACATAGTGGGGTGTGTGGATGGCTCAGTTGGTTAAGCATCTGCCTTCAGCTCAGGTCATGATCCCAGGATCCTGGGATCAAGCCCCACATTGGGCTCCCTGCTCAGCGGGAAGCCTGCTTCTCCCTCTCCCTCTGCCTGCCACTCACCCCCTGCCTGTGCTCTCTCTGTCAAATAAATAAAATCTTAAAAAAATAGTAAGTTTCACATTGTACATATGAAGAATTTAATACTTACTTATCAAGGAAATCCTTATCCACTACAGCAGTGATGTCAAGAAGAGGATTTCCCATTCCAAAGAGAATATTTTCACTAAAAAAAAAAAAAAACACAAAAATGCAACTATAAATTAGAAATACTTCTGAAAGTAAGTTGATGTATAAAATGCATACAAATATAAAAATAAACGTCTTCATTTTACCTTGAAAACAAACATAACAAACTAGTTTATTAAACCTTTGATTTGCCTTTTACATTTCAGGTAACACTTTAGAGTAGCACAAGCCATTTAGAAAGGATGATGAATGGGGCACCTGGGTGGCTCAGTCATTAAGCGTCTGCCTTCAGCTCAGGTCATAATCCCAGGGTCCTGGGATCAAGCCCCGCATCGGGCTCCCTGCTCAGCGGGAAGCCTGCTTCTCCCTCTCCCACTCCCACCTGCTTGTGTTCCCTCTCTCGCTGTCTCTCTGTCAAATAAATAAAAATCTTTAAAAAATAAATAAAAAATAAAAAGGATGGTGACTTTTAAATTGGATGAAATAGAGGAAACCAGATCCTGTGATCTTTTTCATAATATTCAACAGCTAATCACTGAAGCTAATTAATTTCAATGTTTTATTTAAAGGTCTATCATAACAAAGTTCTATACTCAACAAACATGACAAGTAACTCTTTTCTAGCTAGCAAGATACCAAATTAACAAAAGTTATTGGGGAGGTTGCAGAAAGTCCTATAGTCCAGCCAAGAGCCCTACCCTTGAACAAACTGGGAATGACTGTGGTGAGACCTGCCCAATGGGTATCAAAAATGGTATAATTTTTAATTACATTTAACAAACTTTGAAGAAGTCTGTTTTCACAATGATCACAGTATTGATGAAAACTAAGGGAAAGCTAGAACTCCACAAGTGATACCTTAAACGGAAGCCCAACTGACAGCAAGAAATGGACCACTGGCCATCGTTCAGTCAGCCTTGATAGGAGGAATTCTTCTATGTTTTTCAATGAAATTTGCTTCTGTGTAATTTCCCACTGATCTCCAGTTTGCTGAACATCTCTTCCAGTTGCCTCCACACCAGTTACCATCCTCACCATTTGGAGATCAGTAGTATCAATAGGACTGGTACCCCAGAGTTTAAGAGAATGGGATATAACCTATAATTATAGTCTATTGTGATTTAGAAGACTGAATTACAGTATCATATTAAAACAACAGATTTGGGGCACCTGGGTGGCTCAGTTGGTTAAGCATCTGCCTTCAACTCAGGTCAAGATCCCAGGGTTCTGGGACGGCCCAGCATCAGGCTCTCTGCTCAGCAGAAAGTCTGCTTCTCCCTCTCCCTCTGTCCCTCCCCCGCTGCTAGGGCTCTCTCCCTCTCTCTCTCAAATAAATCAATAAAAATCTTTAAAAAAATAAAAAATAAATAAAATAAAACCACAGATTGGGCAACTATGGCTGAATATACAATGTTATTTGTCCCTTTTTTTCTTTTTAAAGAAAGCTGAATGGGGGAGAGTTAAAATAAAATACATTTATCTATTCAGACTTAAGTTGTATTTGTAATCAGAATAAAAATTTAATAGAAAATAAGTGCTTAGGAGATAAAGGATCAACAGGAGATACAGTAAAACTTGATCATTTTATTAGAAAACTTCTCTGATTTATGTATTATTACTCAAACAATAAAAACTCCTATAACTTGATTTTTAAAAAAAGTATGGGGTGTTACTAGGATGCCTGGCTGTTTCTTTTTATTCAGCCTTTTTATTTTTTAGTGTTTGGTTCAATATATACAGTCATCAAACTACCACCAGAATCAAAATAGGGCAGATTTCTAACACCACAAAGTATCTTGCTACCTTCATGTCAATCTCTCCACTCCAACTTGTCCCCTCTTGGTTTTAAGGACTATAAGCGTGACATTTCTTTTTCAGAAGTCAATCCTTTGAACACGTCCATTGTACTCCATTTGAAAATTTAGTATACTATTAATAAGTCAGTATACCCTCTCTGGGCCTAAGGTTGCTTTTTTTAAGATTTTATTTCTTTATTTGACAGAGAGAGAGAGAGAACAAGCAGGGGGAGCAGCAGACTCCCCACTGAGTAAGGAGCCTGATGCTGGGATCATGATCTGAGCCAAAGGCAGATGCTTAACCGACTGAGCCACCCAGGCGTCCCGGGCCTAAGGTTTCTACAGTCAAATTAGTATGAGGGAAAAGATGAGCACACTGAATCACAGAACCCTGTTTAAACTTATATGCCTCAACTTATTTGTCTAGCAAAACTTTTTTTTTCCTGAATGCAAATGGAGAAGAATACATCTACACAAAGAACAAGAAAATGCTGGGACTGAATCACTCAAATTTAAGACTGGAAGTAATTTTTTATATATTATTAAGAATAATGATGGGGGACACCTGGGTGGCTCAGTTGGTTAAGCATCTGCCTTTGGTTCAGGTCATGATCCTAGGGTCCTGGGATCCAGCCCTTCGTTAGGCTCCCTGCTCAGCGGAGAGTCTGTTTCTCCCTCTGCCCCCACCTCCCGCCCCCGCCACGCTCCCTCTCTCTCTCACTCTCTCAAATAAATAAAGAAAATCTTTAAAAAAAAATAATAATTATTGGGAAAAAATTTAACTGGTAGCTTGTTCTTTTATTATTTGTTAATAAACTAAATAATAACCTTTGCCTTGTTATTGCCAAACAATATTACAATTCAGTTAAGGTCATTTGAAGCCATTCTCATAATAAACTAGAATTGTGTGCTTGTCATCTATTTCTTGTCATCCTCCTACTTTCACCCCAAATTTCCTCATTCAAGAGATCTGGATAAAATTGATCCACCCCAGTTCATGGACAGTGAGAGTCTGATTAGCTTAACCTTGAGGCACAGCAAAGCCAAAGCCAATCAGTACAACATATTTCTCTACACTTATTGATCAGAGATAGGCATGTAACCTAAGCCAGTGAAATCAAAATGGACAAGATTTTTTTCTAGGAATGCTCACATACCAACAAACTATCTTCCTTCTGAGTAGATATAAATGCAGAAGGTACTGGGCACCTTTAGTACCTTAAGGTCCCTAGGTGGGCTGTTTTGGGATAAATCTGACATCACAGAGGGCAGAATAGAAAAACAAAGAAACTGGGTCATTGATGAAGTTGTTGAACCAATTAAGCTTCACCTGAAACCTATACCCTCTTTGGATTTTTCAATTACATGTAGGTTAGCTATTTTGTTGATTCCAATCTCAGATTCGTTTTCTAATACGTTTTCTAATAACAGATATAAATTGTATTTCATTTTGTGAATCTGCTTTATTTTGTAATTCATTTTTATTATAAAGCCGTAGTAGAGACAAGATTGTTAATATTTGCATTACAAATCCATGTTCCATTAAGTTCCTCTTAGGATAAAGTCTTATTCTCAGGCAGATCTCTTGGATTTCTTTTCCTTCCCTCCACGGGGAGGGTTATATGGATTTTACTTCTGTTACTGAAACAGGGGGCTTGAAAAATATGTTCAACCAACATTTGCCATTTTCTTTGTATATGTCCAATAAATGGTAATAGTAGTTTCATATATTTAAATTCCACTAATTCACATACAGATGCTGCTTTGTGTCTTAACTTATAAAGTCATTTGTAATTCTTGAACTGTACACATAGACTACTTCCCCAAATATAACTCAATAAATATAACAGAAGATACCAATCAAAATTTTAACATAAATCTTAAAAACATAATAAAGATGGTGTAGAAGTTTCTAGGTTGGTGAACACAACTATTGGGAGGGTCGCACTGCCCATGGAAGTTCATTTCCCCACTCCTATACCATTTTGTGATATTGTGGTTTAGAGTAAGAAATGCATACTTGGCTTTCATCCTGGTCCCTGGCAAAGAGCTATTTAAAACTTTGGCATTTCTGGAACACTGGGATAAAGATGTTTTGTTATGTTAATGAGGCTACTTTTGGAAAACAACTCCGTAACCTAAGGATGGATGGGGGGCGGAATCTCAGGTGACTAGAGGATTAGAATTTTCAGTCCTACCCCCACCTCCAGGGAGGGGATAGAGGCTGGAGATTTAGTTCAATCATCAACCATTTAATCAACTGTGCCTTTGTAATGAAGCCTCCATATAAACCCAAAAGGATGAGTTTCAGAGAGCTTCCAGGTATCTGTGGAGATTTGGTGAAAGTGGCTCATCCACAGAGCATGGAACCACCTGTCCTTTCCCACATATTGACTTATGCATCTCTTCCTTCTGGGTGTTTCTCAGTTAAATCCTTTTATAATGTTAAAATAAATTTCTAGGCCCAAGATGGAGCCATCTCCTGCCCAGAGTGCCTCATCAGCAAACTAAACTTTTGTGCTCGTGTAAATGGTCCAATTGACCAGAAATGTAGTATATCCAGTTAGCTATTCCCCTTACACCAGCCAACTCTATACTTATTTCCTTGTTCCTTGATCTTTCTAAATAAGGTCAGATATGCAACCCTAGTCAATCACACCATTCCCAAGTTTCCCCTTTTATTACTCTATAAAACACACTCTTGCCCGAAATTCCTTGGGAGGAGTAGTCCACTGCTTGTAAGGCACTGTACTCCCTGAATCCATGCAGTTTTCCTTTGAACAAAGGACATCAAGCTGTTACCAAATTGTTTTTGTTATCTGACAATAATAAACGGTAATCTATTAAGTAAAATGCTTCTCTGAGTTCTGTGAACCACCCTGGCAAATTACTGAACCCAAGGAGGGGGTCATGGGAATCTCTGATCTATAACTGGTTGGTCAGAAGTACGGATAATAGGGGAGCCTGGGTGGCTCAGTTGGTTAAGCATCCAGCTCTTGGTTTCAGCTCAGGTCATGATGTCAGGGTCGTGAGATCAAGCCCCCCACTGGACTCCTTACTCAGCATGGAGTCTGCTTGAGATCTGTCCTCCCTCCCTCCCCTCCCCCTCTGCTCCTCCCTGCCCCTCACATGCCAGCTCACTAAAATAAGTAAATAAATAAAATCATAAAAAAAAAAATAAAAAGAAGTACAGATAATAAACTGGACTTGTGACTGGAATCTGAAGTGTGGGAGGGGACAG